CATTCTTCATACTTTTAGAGAAAACTGTTTTATAAATAACGCTGCCCTTGTTACTGATACTGAATGGCTTCGACTGCATCGAGTGTAATCACTGAATGTTTACCTTCACAGCTTTTAATTCGCACACTTTGTTTAAAACTCACATCTACCACTTTCGTTTGCAGTTTTCCTCTTGTCCTGGAGCAATTGCTCCGGTGAGTACATCAGTGAACTCGATTGTCAATCTTGTTTGAGCTCATCACTAGTACGTATCAATGGCCGTCCCGGGGATTGGTAGCTGGATGTGTAACACGAAAAGCGGGTGTGTTACGACTATCTGCAAGTGCATCTTGAGCTGATCTGAATTATCACATCTGAATAGACGATGACGTCCAAACGTGATGGACGTAAGTGGTCTGCTTGACGCCTTGAACGACTACCGATAAATTGCCCTGGTTTTGTCGATCGAATGACCTGCTTATCAGGTGATTCCAGTCGCTCATTAACGCTTGAAACCACTAGATAATTGTTGATTGGTTGTAGTCGGTTGCAGATTTGTTGACCTAATTAACATGATATGAGGCAAGTTAGGCAGGGAATCAACAGAACAGGACTGAAATCACCACATAAAATGTGCTATATTTTTGTGCGATTGCTCAAAGTTTGTGTTCAGTTACCTTGGCTTGATCGCCCGTTTGTTCATTCGGTTATGGTGAAAAACACCTGACTGTAGGCAAAGATGATTCTCACAGTGACAGTACAAATGAATGTGGCGAGCTTATGGTCAGCGCTTAGCACAAATATGTTTCAACTATGTGACCTTACTCGTTTTCTAAAATGCGTTTTGCTGACAACATTCTTCAGGATATGGATGAAATATGAGTATTTGTCGTTTGTTTTATCCGCCAGAATAGCTCACGAAGCGAATTTCGGTCAGTTTGTTGAAATTCAGTTTTCTTACGAAAACTAGGAGGCTGTGCAGAAACTGTGAAGTCGTTGTTTAATCAGACATGTGGTTACTACGACCAGCTAAACGTTCTTCAAAGACTATGGCCTGCTGATTACTCGAGTGGTCTGAGCAGCTGAGTTCGTACACTTAACTGCCACCCATTCAAATCGTCTAATTGTACAACCGATGACGAATGCGTTCATTATGTCCGACTACTATTTTTCTCGATCATTCCCAGGTGACTGAAATCAAAAGATTCTTTGTAGAACATCAAAAGCTTTATAAATGATGTCGCTGATTCGCCGTTAAATTATTCTGTGGTTAGTTTTAAGACGAATTCGCCTGTGATTAGTGTTTGCGCGATTTTTGGACTAACCATCTTATTTTTCTCACTTTGGAATAGAAAGGATAAAGAGATTGGTGCCAAAAAAGTGAGTGATTCACCGTGAACGGTTAATTTTGCTTACTTATTGAAGGCATGTGCGAGTAAAGGGGCTTGCTCGCAACGGTACTTGTTGCAAAGTTACCTAAAAAGACAGACAATTCTTGGAGTTGTGAGCACTGATCGATCGAAGTAGCTTTCTCTACCGTTACGCTGTATACCCCAAGGAGAGCCATGAGTTATTCCCAAAGTATGTTAGTACTAAGCATAGACGAGCCCACTCTCCTTGAGATTGAAGGAACACAGGTGATCACTTGTGAACAATTTTCGGAGTGGTATGGCCAGGAAACCACTGTTCAGACTAGTATAAATTTTTCTGTTTGGTAGGTCGGCCGGTATATTGCTCCTGAACGGAATGCTCTATCACGCACAAAATATGTTAGTATACTCATTCTCTTGACACTATGGCGAAATACATTGGAAGTACGATTAGGCGGCTTGGTTATAGAATGAGGAAACACAACCCATCCTAGCTAGCTTCAGAAACCAGGATAACGATGACCAGTTCACTGTGCATCTAGCGGACACGGCGCACAACAAAATACACAGTCAAAGCTTTAGTAGTGTTTATAAGTTGCCTCCTAATCGAGTCATATTGGTATGTGCTCAGGTTAATCCGATTCCCCTAAATATACACTGTGTCGAACACAACCACAGCACTGCCTGCACTAACAAACTCAGATCATCCTATTGGTGACTAGTTGTTCCTTGATAGGTAGCCGAAACTGTCTACCACTCGACTCACGCTTTTATTTCAGGTCCACTCTGATGGTAAATTTGGTCCACTTTGTAAAGAACCTGTCCGGAAATCGCGATGTCTATATTTATGGTGCACTAAATACCAGTGATGGTTACGTCTCTTTTACAGTTTTGTTCATACTATGAAGAGTGCACTGATATAATTTTCTTTTCGGCATATAGAATTAAATAATTTTCACTTTCAATGAGGTATATTAATAAAGGTGTGTTCATAAAGCCCCAACTTTCACGAATTTCAAAAATACGTTGGTATTCATATATTTTAGCGTACAACCGGAACTTAGTGTGCTGTACGGCTGCATCGATTTACTAATCTCTAATTTCCGAACAGTCGAATTTGAAGACATCCAGTAAACGAAAATTCAACCAGTCTCTATTTGCTGACCCACCTAATCCACCATCACCAAAAAGAGAATACTAGTCGAGGAAATATATTATATACTCGTCAATTCATTGCGTGCACCGAAAGGAGGGATCGGCCAAATTTACTGCATCTATCTACTTGTTAGATTATTCATCATTAGACATCGGTGTTTACGCTTCTCAGTGATCACCTTCATCTTCATAATCAAATTGGTGTGTCCTCCAGGTTGCCATGAAAAAAATAGATAATCAGTTATCGTGACCAAATAGGAAGTAACCCTTAAGGCTAATCCAATCATGGGCTATTTCGCTGATAGTTTTTCACCAGGAAATAAGGTCGAGTATTGTAAGCCATCAGTGTACGCAATAATCTAAGCGTGACAATTTCATCCCCAAAACGTGTGATGGAATACAACCATATTAGCTATAGTAATACCAGAAAATTTGAAAAATACGCAGTTTAAAACGCGTAATTGATACAAAATAATTATTGGTCACTCGGTACTTACGGATTGCAAACAATATTACTCAAATAAAGCTCCATGCACTAATGTGCACAAAATTTAACCACTTCACTCTCGTTTTTGTTGTGAGAGGATAAAACGGTTTTTCGTGCTCAGATGCTTGTGCTCGTTTAGAAGGCCTCCAAAAGATGCACTCAAAAAGACTACATAAGACTGGTAACAGCACACTGCGGTCTCTGAGATTTTACTAATAAGAATTAGATGGGGATTTGCTCGCGGAGCAAAATCCGGTCATTACTGGCAATGTAGTTTTTGTTCACATGAAAACTCTTGACCTCTCCACGAAGGTATCTCTTGTGACGAATAGGTCTTTGGCAAGCAGAAAAAGTGTAAATGTGTCCGAAAATGCGGATATGGTCTAGCCACTGTGTTAACAAAAACCCTAATTCACTTTTCATTGGTACATGTAAAATAAGTCTTCACTTTAAAACGTTTAAGAAGATAACGGTCATTAGGTGCATATAAAACTTCTCATCTGTTACTGCAACATTATACGGTATCATTGAGACTCTCCGTCTTTGCTAGATCTGCTTGGTGGTACATTGAGAAATAGTAGTTAGCTTTCTTCTACATATCCTATCAGAAACTATACGCCAACACATCGTGTAATAGTCTCCTTGTAAAAGAAGATAACGAATTAGTCCTGACAGATGGGCGACAGCAATTTTGTCCGAGAGGACACTGGGTGCCAGCACTATTTTGACATGATAGTTAATCCACTTGCCACGGTAGTGAAATATATATTCACGTGACAGAACCCCAGAACACATCTCCCCTCAACTAGAGGACCACCGTGATTTACTTCCGCTTATGGCACCCATGTGTCGATGGTTAAAAGAAGCCATGCTTACTGAGAGGGAAGAGTTGGCCATTTGTTTCTCAACAACGAGCAATTTTTTTCTATGTCGTCCTGAGAAGCAAGTAACTTGTGAAACACCATTTGACACAGCGTGACGGTATCAGTGAAAACTGCACCAAACCGTACTTGTTAAATGTGCAGTCGCTGATAAGTGAACTAAACGGTAGGGTTACTACAATCAAGTACGACTATTTAAAAGGTGTACTGCACCAAAACATAAGAGATACTGGCAAATTAGGTTACAAAGTGATTGTTCCAGTTTTTCAGGTCAAGGGATAGGTTGCATTATACATGCTCTGGATCCCTTTGAAAACGCACCACTGACTTGTCCGTACTAAAAAAGTTAGTGGTCTACTGTTGCCTGATTGTTTGTATATTTTTGTCTTCTGACTGCACTTAAAAATTAAATGGTTCTTTTGGAAAGGTGTTCATGAGATATAAGTAAAACGACTCCTCTGAATGTTTCAACATCTCAGTAAAATATTTTGAAAACTTAGGAGGAGGTATAGCGACTGAAACATGAGGCGGCCTGGTGCAGCACATTCAGTTGCCTGAGAACATCATAAACGAGAGATCCAGCTGGGTTCCAGGTGAGTCTCTCGAAAGAACCTAATTAGTTTGCAGATGAGTGTATATTCGCTAATTTCGTGCAATTTAGTTTCAAGTAGAACATAAGGTTTACGGAAACCCGGGGACGCGCCTACCTGATGAGCCCCAAGAAGGGCGAAACCGGTCGTGGGCTGTCGATGGATTTTCAGCAACCTTATGAGCAGTAAGTTACAGGTATAGCTTTCCATTTACTTATTGATAACTTTGTCACAGTGTGCGTCCCATCACTCAGCAAAACCTGTTTCGGGTGCGTCAGTTGACAATAAGGTTTTTATTCATAGTCTGCGAGTAGATCTGGGGAGCTGCTTTGGAAAAAGCGAAGTAATGCTGCATTCGTATGTGATATAGACGTGTGGAACATGGGGAAATTTCTCGCATTAATTTGGTTTCTCCAGTCTCAACAACAACATGACTGCCAACAAGCTCCCTGAAATATTACCCTCATGCTTTTCTTACGCAAGTGTGGCATTTGTCATTACAAAACATCTTTTGAATAAATATTTACAATTAACTTACTTTTCACAGCATCCAAAGGCTTGCTTACGAGAGATTTCGCGATGTAGTTTGCCATTTTGCTTGGCTTGTAAGCAGAATAGCCCAGATTCTATATCGGCAGTTCGGAAGAGTGCAATTCCGAATAATCCAACTAGTTAGAATTCGTAGTTGAGCACTCTAAAACTTATTCGTAATGGTCATTTTTTCTGGACTTGGGATTAGGAGTTAGAGTAGCGTGCAGAGTAGGTACTTTTACTTTACTCCTTTGTGTTTTTGGCCAATCAGAATACAGAGCTCTTAAGGAACTAGTGGAGTTCTGGTTGGGCGATTAGTGTCTGGTTGACAGCCATGAACGAAAGGCTACAGAAAGTGATACGGACAGCTAAAAAAACATCTTGGTTACGTACTCAACATTGTGCTCCCTTTTTGGGTATATGACGTCATTTCAAATTTCCTCAAAAAATCAGGCACATACTAACTAGTTTTCCTATGTTTGCACATTGTTCAGTAAGCACTCGCCTACAGAAAAACTTCCATTGCCCCTGAAATAAAAATAGAAATACAACCACTGGTAAATGTTTTATTACTCTCGCACCCGAGTAAACATTCGAGCGAGATTATTCACTATTTTAAATGTACATAGTAGCCTTGCGTTCCTGTATATCGTACTGCTCTTTAAAAAAATTAGAATGATTTATGAAGACTATCTATGCAAATATTTTAACCCTAATTATTACGGCCGTCATGATTCGAATTCTTTGAGGCAGAATAGCTAAACTGAATTGTGTTTTTACTACTGCGACTCAGATTTTGTTGAACTTTTATTCTTTACACTTTAACTTAGACGCGCTCTGACCGGACCTTGATGCCGAGGTTGTTGCTCTTTCTTTCCTTGAGTTATCGAATGCCTCGCTTTTCTCACACAACTCTGGGAAAACTATCTTTGAGTGAAATCTTCTAGGTTTTCTGCTTACCACTCGCATTACAGTCTTTATACTGGCAACCTTTTCCATTCGGTAAGACAAACATTTTTTATTTCCAAAAAGTGGAGCTTAGTTGTCTGCCAAAGATTGTTATTATCAAGTCAGTCAGTCTGTTGTCACCCACGCATTTATGCGCACCTTACAGATTCTATCCAGATCGTGAATTATCATTCATGTCCAGGTAATCCGTTCTGAAATTCTTTCCGTCCTTAAAGGTGACGGCCGCTAAAAGTACCGTGCCTCTAAAACATCATATTTCAATCTCACTCACGGAAGAGTACTTTGGTACTTTTTCCGGCATCATGCGGCATCGTGATGGCCCAATCTAGGGAGACTTTATCCATGGTATTTACTCATTGCTAAAGTAAACGATGCAACACAGTACGACAATTAGTTTAAATTCCTATAGACCTGATTTTAGGATTCCCATAAGATTTTGTAAGAACGGACCAGACAGGAAGTAATAAACGCAGCTTTACTTACACAGTTACACAAAAGCCCCAGTTAGGATTGTTGACTTGCCTTGAAACTTTGGCGAGCAAGTGTATACTAACAAAGTCTCCGTGCGGGTAAACTCTACGGGCAGAAAAAACCAGACAAACTGTATTTATACAATAAACCAATTCACTTCATATGGCAGCAATACAGTTGTGAGGGATTATCAGGTCAACCAAATCACGGCATCGGTATTCGCATTGACGTATATTATTGATCGAAACCTGTGGGTGGGGTTCACCTAGACCTACCTACACGCAATGTCCGATTCATTTAATGTTCGACAGCACCTTCATTTTGGGCAGTCGCCTCGTAATAAGGCCAGTCAAATTTTTTTACGGTTTTCGGGAGAACAGACAAACATCACCACAGTAGTCAAGAGCACGGAGAGTTCAAAAAATGAACTTTGGAAATATTTCTCCACAAATTTCACCATTTGAATAAAAACATTCGATAGACCAAAGAAAATGTTCGCCATATCCACTGTACTTTCCTAGCAAAATACGTTTGAAAAAATATATTGTGAGAGATAGTGTGAGCTAGTGTAATCCAGATGTTGGTGGTCCGTAAATGGCACACTCAGGTTGATACTGATATAAACGATGGCCACATAGGCTACGTCAACTTTACAATAGTCATAAGATTTTACAACGGGTACAGTTTCACACCTGGCAAAATATCTGCGGTGACAATGTCAGATGGTGTAACACTCTGATGTTAAGTACAGTGCTAACAGAACCAGTCGAATTTCTGATAACTTTCAGCAAATCTTTTACGCAAGCGTCAAAAGAGTAATAGTGCCTCAAATACTCTGAGAAATTTCTAGTTATTGGGAAAGAATGGACTGCGTGACAGTAGATTACCAGTCAACGTAATACGAGCATAATATTGTCTGAAATTTAATTACTAATTGGATTGCAAAAAAAGCAAATAAATATCTGAAATATTTGGCGAACTTAACTACCGCAGCTTATCATAACAGGAAATTTCAGGAGAGACGCGTTGATCAATTTTTGGACATATACTGCTCCTGAAACCGTTTATCACCCTAATTGGTAATCTGTACTGGAGAGAGATGCTTTATATGTGCATATGTATTTATGTATATAAATAGGAGAAAGGTATGAGATGGCTGTTTCTCCGTGATGATATGGCGGAGACGAAACGTAGTCAGGAATGCTCTACTGATCCTACATGCATGTAAGCCAAGAATTGCATGGAGCTAATCTACTTCGCTTTTTCTGCAGTTGCCTAATAAATTACCTGATGAGATTGCTAAACACCCTATCGACAATCCAGAACCGGTTTCGCTCTTCTTGGGGATCATCGTATAGGGCCAGTCCCTAAGTTTCCTTCAATCTCATGTTCACTTTGTCCCCGGATTGGACGAACTCTGCGAAATATATTCATTTGGAGACTCCACTGATGTACGACGGTTTTTCTCAAACTTTAGACTGCTTTTCTGAAGCACCCTCATTTAGAGAAAACATTACAAGAAAGTGATTTAATTGGAATTCACCTGTGACCTTCGTTGAAACCAACTGGGTATGCAAATTAGCGTATTCACCCTAAATCTCTCCTACGTTAAAGGTAAATCTGCTCTTGTGGTACTCATTATTCTCGAAGTAACTATAATCTTCGGATATGGGAGGCTTCAGTATATTAATGGTATGCTGTTTGGAAGAACAAAATCAAGCGTCGAAACAAAGTGTAAAATTAGAAGGTTTTTATCGGAGGAAAATGTTTTTAACTTCTCTGAATTTTAGCCAAGTTCGGTCACAGCAACATGTATGCTAAAGGATTCATGGTTTTTATGTTCACAGAAGTTTTGATGAGAAGGCATTATTTTTTCATGTACTATTTACAAATACGCTGTGCATGAAAGTAGCCTTAGAAACTAGCGCAGTATTTTCAAAAGAGTTTACATAAGTCCGGAAAAAGTGCTCGTAATTTGCGGACGGGCCACGGCGTTTCAGGATCCTGAGGTAGGCATGAAATTCTTACTATAAACAACAAGTTGGATAAGAGCTCGTTAGCAATTTGTTTTGTTTGTTGAACCAAGTGGGACAGATGGTGATACGGAAATTTCTGAATTTGAACGCGGGCATACATAAAGCAAACGAATAGACAGAATAAACATAGCTACAAGGGAGTTTATAGGATAGCATAATTACAAAACTACTATCTGATAACAAAACGACCGAGATTTTGCGTTCGGCAGATGTAACTAGAAAATGCACATACCACACTTGATTGAATATACAACCATGAATAGATGAATATCTCAACCGAAATTAAAAAACATGCTGAATTGTTAACTAACTGGTTCTTATCTTATATATGGTATATATATATATGTATATTCAAAATGTACAAACTGCTGGACAATGAAGGAATTTCGCAAGAATAATTCATCTGCACACGAATCTGATTTTTTAGCCAAACTATGAGTGCTATTCTTTTAGGAATCGATAATTTTGCAATTAAAATGCTCTCATTTTCAAGTTTCTTCGGTGATAATGCGATAGTCATAAAATATTATTCAGTGTTTCAGTACATTGCCAAAAGAAACATTAGGAAACATTTGGTGAATACCATAAATGAGAATTTCCCCTTAGATTCAACTCAGCCTGTTGGTCAAATTGATGTTGGTTGCAGATGAGTACCACTTGTTTTACATTTTGGTGACCCCCTATAGCACAAGGAAACCTGGGAATTGCTTCTACTTGATGTACCCCAAAAACTAGGAAAATGCTAGTGGGTCATTGAACTATTTTCAGCAGTCCCAAAAAGTGCATTGCGTCAAAAATAATGGTCGCTATTCCAGCGAATACAGTCGTTGAGTAATGAATCTCCGGACTCTGAAAATAAACGCTGTAACTGTGGAGACATTCAGTGATAAACTTTCACGTAGTGGTTATTTTCCCTGTAATTCTCTCCTGATTGTACACAGGCGTACACAAACCTTGTAAGGTAATCTGTAGTTGCAGAAAGCAAATGCCTATTGTTTTTATCATTGTAAGGAACAAATTGCAGACAATTTTCGCTTCACTGAAGTCACTTTCTCGTGAAGTAATGATCTGTCCGAGAATGTTTATTAGATGGACAACAGCAACTCCAGAGTAAACTTGATGACAGCTGAAAAGTAGGTTCAGCTATTTCCGTTAATAGTTCTAAATGATCAACTTCCTGGTTGTTTGTCGATGTTCACCCCTGCCGCGCCATTCTGACGTAGAATTTGCAGATATAAGTTTTGCACAAAATAACTGTTCATAGATGTATGGTTCCTTCAGAACAAATGGATCTTATTCACGTTTGTGAAAACTGAATCAAACCTTCGCCATACATACTTTGTAATGCAATATTCGATAGGTTGCTGAAAACTCCTCGACAGCCCACGGCCGGTTTCGCCCTTCTTGGGGCTCATCAGGTGGGCGCAGTCCCCGAGTTTCCGTCAACCTTATGTTCTACTTGAAACCGAATTGCGTGAAACTAGCGAGTAGTGAGTAGTACATTGCAAATTATATATGTATCCCGATATCTCGAATATCGTAGCGACTGAAACATGAGGCGGCCTGGTGCAGCATATTCGGTTGCATGGAAACATCAAAACCGAGAGATTCAGCTGAGTTCCAGGTGAGTCTTTCAAAAAATTAAATTAGTTTGCAAATGAACGTATATTCGCTGAAACAAGTCTTGTTCAGGT